AATACAACCTTCAGATGTTGGACAATCAACATTGCTACTTATAAAAACAATGAAAATGAGATTCTAGATCTAATGGGAAGAATAAAAAATAGACAGTATTGGTCTCGGAGAAACCAGATAAGATATCGCAGAGCCTTAACTGAACATGTTTTGGAACCCTTTGGTGAATCGACATTTGTATTATAAACAATTGAAAGAGTGTGAACGGTTTCGTTAAGCAACAATGGTCACACAGATTTACAAGGTGTAGGTGAAATCAAAACTTCGCAAAGTTTGACGAGATGTCAATAATTGACTATATTTTTTATATCCATGTTCGCAGAAGATGCACTTGACTCCGATCACAGATTACTAATCGCTGACCTGGTTGTAAATGGATTGAAGAAACTAAGTTAAAGCAAAAGGAAAATCATTAATATAAAGTCACTTGAAAATAAAAATATGTACATTGCTAGAGTGAAGGACAATCTTCAGAAAACAGACGTAGGAACAAAGAAAAATTGCAAACTCTCGTAAATTTTGTTACGGAAACAGCAAAAAACGTACAAGGAACAAAATGGATAGGAGATAGGAAATAACACACACCATGGTGGACAGAAGAAGTCAGGGAATCAGTGAAAGAGAAGACAAATAAGTTAAGAATATGGTTAGAAAGTGGAACCCAAGAAACAAGAGATGACTGTCATGGCTAGGAGAGAAGTAGTTAAACAAAAAAAGATGGAGAGATGTTGGAGAATAATGGAGAGGCAAGAACTCATAAGTTGCAGTATTTAATGATAATAATGATGATAATAGACAATGTAAAATAACGTCTAGGATTCAAAACCTACCGGTCTTAAAAACTTGGACAATTTGGACCATCGATCCAAGACGAAAATATCAATCTATATTTCAGATTAATTGTGTGGAAAATAATGACATTCACCAACGTTTTTCACTGGACCCGTACCTGTTTTCGACCACATGCTGTTGATGCCTACTTCCACTCCGTAGCCGTGATTCAGTTGGTTTTTTTGTGCGTATATACTGAATACATTTGATTTTCGTCAAATCAAATCAAATAAAATCAAACTTTATTTGTCCATTAAAACATAGGTAAATGGAAATTCTTTTTCCACTGGCAAAGAACATGACACATCAGAAAAACATTGTAAAAACATTAAAACACACCAGAAGGACAACAGTGACTAAAATTTTGAAAGTTTTCTAACAATTTAAAATAATTAATAATAAGATTCATTTAAAATATTTTAAAATGTAAAATTCGCATTGCAAGCTAATTAAAATCACTCATTTTCGTTTGGCATTTTGGTTGAAGATACGTATTGCGTTAATTACAAATGAGTACCTGTATCTGTTGTGTCGAATATGTGGAACATATAATCTAAAACCTCAGTGACTAAAACTGAAACAATGGTGAAGTGGATGGGTGTCATCTTTCATTATAGTTTCTATTTTGTGTAATATCATTCTATTGTATATGTTTACTATGGGTTCTAATTCCATGCCAATGCATTTTTGAGCTGCTTTTTTATTTTTTCAAATTTCTTTCTGTTCGTCATTGAGAAACTACCGTACACACATATGCCAAAAACTAGTGTACTCTGTACTAACAACAGTTTGGTAAAATAATTTAAGAATGGTTTTATCCACTTTTAACTTAATTAAAACCTTAATTTTCTTACAAAGTACAATTTTTTTTATTTGTTTTGCTATATACACTATTTGTTTGTGAGTTCCAATTTAGTTTGTTTCTACAATAATTCCAAGATACTTGTATTCCTCTACTATTTCTATATTCTCACTATTTATAGTTACAGTATCATTGATCTGTTTTTCTCTTCGGAAATCAAAAAGCATTTCTTTCGTTTTTGTTAATGTTGATGTTAAGATGTCAAGCACGCTCAGTTTTCGGTATCTTAATGAGTTACAGTAATACTTTGCTTTAGCTGCCCCTGACCAAAATATGTTGTACTGTAGGCCCTATTGCAAATCATTTTAATTTAATGCAAGATTTTCGTCAAACACAATCGTATCATTTTTCATTACAGAAAAATATTTAGAAACTACTAAAAATGATATGAAAGAACAATAGTGTTAATTGGTATAGGAAAATATTTTATTCTCTCTATCATTTTCCTTGGAAACCGCTTTTGGTAATTAAAATCACCATGATTTGTAATAAGGCATATAAAACAAAACTGAGGAGCATGCTTTGTAAATCATAAAACATACGGTATCTAACCATTGGTTGTTGGCGATCTTATATGTTCTTATCAAAACTTGTCGCGACGTTCACATACTAAGCGTGAGCAAAGCCAGCTCACCCTCTAGAATAAACCGAGTACAGAATTAGTATTCAAATATTTATTAATGATAATAAAGATGTATTACCTGCGCAAAAACCTGACCCACAAGCATTGAGTTTTGGAAGAGAGTAGATGAAATATTCGCCACAGTGTTTTACTCTAATGTTGGAGGACCACTCGCAACAATTTGTCACACCATCAGTGCTTAGACTCTTGCAAACTTGTTTGGTTACTATACCGTTATCAACAGACGGATGAGATCTTAAATAGTGTATGAATATATAAATATAGTCTAATATTGTATGAAATTAAATTTTTTAGACTGAATTTTTCCCAGCCCTCAAAATATTTTTACAAAAAGAGCTGCCTATTCTATGCTGTGCTTATCAACTTCTGTTCAGCATCTGGAGGAAATATATATAGATGTAGGTCCTATCATGTGATATTTTAATTATTTGATTTGTTTCATTAATGATACGCAACAAAGGTAGACAACGGTTGGATGGTGAAGATACAAAATCAAAAAATATTATGATGCTAACTTGAATGTGAAAATATATTGGTCCTACCATTCATCCATATTGGACTGTGCACTCCGCATCGGTCAGCAACAACACATGTAGTTGGCATTTTGTTGCCACCATTACCGGTAAATTGATACCAGTATGCCATCAGGGCGTTTGAATCACATTCTTGGCCGGATAACTGCTGGTTGTTGGTGCTTCGCCACGGCTGAACGAGAGTAAATCGATTGGCGCAGTTGTTTTCTATGAAAATAATATAAAATATATCATGCATTATTAATAATATTCAGTAATATTGATGATGATGACAATGATGATGATGATGATGACGACGACGATACCATACGATACGATATTTCTTTAATATTCTTTATATATACAAACGTACTTACATACATTACTTGTCTCCCAAATATACAATTTTACCGCATGTCTTCTGAAGTGG